GCTGATCACTAGTCTATGGGGAAACTGGTGACAGGCTTCATTACTAGTCCTCTGGAATTCTGATTGGTCATTGCATTGATGAGAGTTCCTAAGGCTTTTAAAGCTGTTTGTCTTTAAGAATATTGGTATTAAAAAGATGAGCCTCTTATTCAGGGAGAAGCTTGGGACCATTCAAAGAAAAATATGCAATTTCTCAGTCTCTTCTCCTCATCCTGTTCAATTCTGGGTTTGTGTAGGCAGCATTTACTTAGTGCTTTGAGGTTAACAAAGCACTCTAAAAATATTATCTGATTCTCACAACAACCCTGTAATATAGGTGCTATTATTATCTCAATTTACAGATGAGGACAGTAAGGCAGAGGTTAAGTGACTTTCCAGGGTCATACAGTTAGTAAGTATCTGAGGCTAGATTTGAACCTAGGACTTCCTGATTGTAGGTCTAGCACTCCATCCACTGTACCACTCAGCATTATATAAATGCTAGATATTAGTTCTGAGACCATTTCATTGTCCATTTGCAGAGTCTGTCAAAGACACTGATGGATGAGCTCTACAGGATGCTCAATCCAAAGTACATCAAGGTCTGAACAATAGGTATTCTTCATCCACTTGGTTTTTCCTGTGTGGATAGTAAGGCCAAACTCTTTTGAATGAGGTCTCTTTTAGGAGACTGTAATATTACGGGGATTGATTCTATTCAGACAATGTCCTCTACAAACAGGAGTATCTAGAAGGCCTCCAATTATAGGGAAATTTGAATGAAATTATATGGGAGAGGAAATGCAGTTCAGTGGATTGGGTCCAATTTGGGGACAGGAAGGCCTGGGTTCTAATTCTACCTCAGACACTAGGGTATGAGTAAGTTACCTAACCTACCTCAGTCTTTTCATCTGTAAAATTAAACAATCCCTAATGAATTCACCTTCCAGGATTTTCAGGAGACTTAAAGGACGTAATGGGATTAAAGTCTTTGGCAAACCTTGAAGCACTATATAGATGCCAGTTATGATTCAATTTATTGTTAAAAGATAAAAACTCCTGAAAAACCATGAGATACTGCTCCAGAGGGAGGTCATGCATATGTGCTTTTGCTTCTCAGGGAGCAGAGCAGTCAGTCTTTCTCACTGCTTTCCAAGACAGTCTCTCCATTTCTCCAAGGTCCTGATGTTGCATCTGTTTGCTGGGAGGTTAGTTTGAATGAAGCTCCGGCAGACAGATGTAAGCCCTCCATTTCCCATCTAAGTGGGACCTACTTAAATGCACAACATGGTTATTCTGAGTCATTTTCCAAATGGAGGATAAACAGCCATCCAGAATAAAAGCTTTAAACAAACAAGAAAACAAATAAGAGAGCTTGTTAGGCATACAGGTGAATCACAGTTTTGGTTTTTTAACAAAAACTCATTTTGTAAGAACTGGGCCCTTTTCTCTGGTATATTTGTAAGAGCCAAAAATACCTCTCAATTAAAAAAAAATCCAAGTCTTTTCATTTATTTTGGCCTGACATCCTTCAGGACTTAATGGATTTTTTTTTTTAAGAAAAAACCTCTCTCTCTCTCTCTCTCTCTCTCTCTCTCTCTCTCTCTCTCTCTCTCTCTCTCTCTCTCTCTCTCCCTCTCTCCAAATAGGAATCAGTATGAAAAAGTACAATACTCCAAGGACACCCTCTGCTCCATTCAAATTAATTTTTCTTTAAGTGTTGCCTAAACCCTGCCAACTGGTCGTTTGTAGTGTTATATACAGATGAGAGGCAGCAGCTAGGTAGAATGTACTGGCTGAAGTCAAAAATAAACTTCCTGAGTTCCAATCTGGCCTCAGACACTTACTGGCTGTGTGTGTACCCCTGAGAAAGCCATTTAACCATGTTTGCCTCAGTTTCCTCATCTGTAAAATGAGCTGGAGAAGGAAATGGCAAACCATTCCAGCATCTTTGCCAAGAAAACCCCAAGTGGGGTCAGGAAGAGTCAGGCATGACTGAAACTACTGAACAAGAACAAAGAGAAGAGAGACAGCACGAGGATCAGAAGATTGGAGTTCAAAGCCTACCTACGGGATCTAGGGTGAGTCACCTAACATGCCTCAATTTCCCTACAAGTTTGTTGTTTGTCCTTCATTCTAAGAGGACCAGTGACATCAGGAGGGTGATGTCTTGACTTGCAAGTGGATTGGATTTAAGTGAGGCAGGACTGTGCAAAGTCACCAGCTTCATTCTCTCCTCCAGAGTCATCTGAGTCCAGGGGCAAGACATAGGTCAGGATGATTGGTGGTGGGTCTGGATGCAGTGCCAGGCTTTGGCTTTTTTGAGCTAAGATCTTTCCCAGGTCTCAGTTTGTCTGAGGCAATTCTCATTCAGTAGTTGAAGGGTAAATAAGAATTAAAGCGAAGAATGGCCTAGTTTGCCTTCAGAAAAGAATCAGTCTGGGAGGGGAAGATCTCAGAGTTTTTGGCCAGAACAGAAACAATTGCTATTTACACTCACTCTAAGCTATCAAACCCAAACAAAGAGCCAGTGAAGCTTGGGCTGGGGAGAGCTAGACTGATTTGGGTTGAATGGGATGTCCCAGTGAAGACTTCTCAGTGTAATTAAGGTTTGGGATAAGACTATCCTAAATCTGGTAATAAGTTCAGTAGGTAAGATAGGGTTAAGTACAGATTTCTATAAGTTAAAATTTGTTCAGTTGTTAAGCCTTCACCTACCTTTTAATCTTATTCAGATGCACCTTTGCCCCTCACCCTAAAGGTATCTGGGGTTTGTCTACAGGCCCCAGAAAACCCTTACACTTTTAGGTTCTTCATCTACTCCCCTTATCTCCCTTTGAGAGGACCTTACTCAGATGCCTTCCAGTTTCCTCCATTATCTATTCGCATTGTCTGTTCAATCTCTCAGACCTCCCAATACATTTGTAAGCTATCTTTCTGTCATGGTGGCCTGGCTCCACAGTACATCATCTAGCTTCACTGCACATTTTTGATTGCTTCTTTGACATTATCTCCACAAACTAAGATGTATACTATTTCCTTTGTTCTATGGTAGAGTCTCGAGTTTGAGATTGTGAGCCGAGTAACCCAGTAATGGACAGCTGGGGAGAGGGGACTTTACCTGTTAGGGCTATTTAAATCTGGTTCTTTGTCTCTGTGTTAGTTTCCCCTCATCAACGCGTACTAGTGGAGGGACACCCAAATCTCAAGATTTGAAATAATAATGATAAATTAACTTTCTGTTTCTCCTTGGATACCTCTGTGTTTTTTGAGTGGCATCCCACACAGGGTTTATTGGCATAGTCAAGTAGCACCATTTGAATCATAATGGGCTTTATCAAAGCTTGGTTTTCCAGAGCTGTATTCAAGAGACCATAAATGAAAACTATATGAGACAAAAGAATTAATTGTACCAGTTTGGTTTTTTAGGGGTTTTTTTTGCATTTTTTGATGAGCAATCAGGGTTAAGTGACTTGCCCTGGATCACTCGGCTAGTGTCAAGTGTCTGAAGCCAGATTTGAACTCAGGTCCTCCTGACTCTGAGGCCAGAGCTCTATCCACTGCACCACCTAGCTGCGCCTTAGTTTTTTTTTTTAATGCTAGAATAGGGGAGAAAAAAAATCTAGTCCCTAATCTCCAAGATTCCTTGTGAAGAATAAGCAATCTAAATTTATATTCCTTTGGACAGAGCACCCACATGTAAGGGTATGACTCCCACATTGACAGAAGGAGAAGGGGAAGAGAGGGAGGAGGAAGAGCTCATCTGTAAAATGGGACTAATACTATCTCCAGTTCAAATCCTTGGATCAAATCAGTATCACTATGTAAAGTGTTATGTAAATACTATTATTGTATTCCAGATGGATTCATATACCAATGCTTCAGTTACTTGTAAGATGGTAGAGTAGCAACCTGTAGGATGTGGTGCCAAGTTATACAATTTTCTGAGATTTCTATGTATTCAATATATTTATAAGTCCCTGCCCAGGTAAGCCTACTAGCTTAATTACCAGCCCTGGAGACATAGGCTTTGGTTCACATCCAGATTTCGACACATACTAGCTTTGCAAACAAAGGCAAGTCCCTAAGACTTTAACATGGAATCAGGCCTCCAGGCCCATCTTGTGCTTCTCCAAACCTTGACACTGCTGCAAAGCATTATGGGCAAACTAGACATTTTGACCTAAAGGACTAGAAGAAAAGTACTTTCCAATGAGAAACCTTGCTGTCCTCAGTAGAACAATGAGAATGACCTTTCTGCAAATCTTATCTTTTTCTCCGAATGTTCTGCCCCCACAAAAAATCTCCCAGTCACTGTGCTTCTATTTTATACTAATCTTTCAACTTTGTATAGGCTTTATTATTCATCTCCTAATTTGTTCTGCCCTCATTTTGGGGGGGGGTCTTCTCAAGAAACTATAAAAATATTCATTCTTGTGAAATTGAATGAAGACTTTGGCTCAGCTCTTGAAGCTCATGGTCATGACATCCATTAGTGGCTCTTCCCTTACGAAGCTGAAGTAATAAAGAATGCTTTGGTCAAATAAGAAAGATGCTGAGTTCTGAATCTACCCTTCAATGCTAGGTGACTATGGAACTGCTGTTGCACCAGGGGAGGGAATTTTCCATGCCTTCCAGAACAATAAAAGCCATGCTATTATACATAAAATTATATAACAAAGCCATGGCTACTTTAAAAGTTTGCAAAGAACTTTATATACATCTTCTCAGAAATGATACTTCTGTAGCAAAAGGAGATGAACCCACCCATATTTTAAAGGAAACTGAATTACCCTAGTGGCCAAGACATTTGGATATGGCCTTGGTTTCTGTACAAAGCCAGTCTGCCTTTGTCAGAGTCCCGAAGAAGTCATGAGTTATCTTGAGTAACCTTGGGTATCTCAAGCTACCAACAATGCAGCCTTTTTGTTTTCAGATATTGTGCAAATGAAACAGTTGCTTCAGGATTAACTGAATATTCATTTTATAAACCACACACCACTCATTTTTGTTTTGTAATTCTTTTTTCTTTATTCCCTTTTCTAGGTTAGGAACTAAAAAAAAAAACAAACCAAAAAACACACACAAAAGGCCAAAGGTCATGCACAGCCCTCAAGCAAAGTGCATCAGCTGCTTGCTCTTCAATTCTTCACAAGCAAAAGTTAAAACATTAAAGCGAATTTATCGTTAACTTTTTTTTTCCAGTACTTATCTTCCTGAAGGTTTTTTTTCACACTTCACACACACACAACACTGATAACAGGAAAGAACAAATAATTTTTAAAAATAAAACATGTTTTTATGAAACAGGAAAAAAACCCCCACAAATAGAGCCTGTAGCATTGAAGCAATGTGCAAAACTTTAAAAATCTAAATAAAACTTCTTTAAAAAGAAAAAACAAATAGTGTCTAAAAATGACCAGTGGAGAACCCTCCTCATAAAAATTCCTCCAAGTTTTCAAGTTGATCTTACAGCTTTTAGTGTGTACATGATCACTAATTGTCATCATTCCAAGAATTATGTAACTTTAAGCAAATCACTTGAAAAAAAATCTCTGTGCTTCAGTTTCCTCATTCGTGAAACAGACCAGGTGATCTTTATGGTCTTTTCAATTCTAATTTTACAAGCCTATGAATTTCATTCCAGCAAGAGTTGTTGTGTGTATGTTGGGGTGTGTGCGGATTTAGAATAAGCCCAGCTTTCTCAGCCTAGTTAAAGTCCATAGTCTGTAGAAGATTGGCAACGCATACATTTTTAATCATCTAGTCTTAGTAAAATAAGAAAACTTCTGTGGGAGGCCTACTGTCTGAATCTGATCACTCAATCCCCCAGGGGAGTCTTCTTCACAATTCTAAAAGATGTGATTTTCAGAAGCTCTTGAGAAACGTGCTATCTTTTAAAGATATTTCTTACATTAGCAGCAAAAATCATGAAAAATGGGTATAACCCACAGCATGACTCTAACTTCGGTCTTTGAATCACAGTTTAAAAAACAAAGAACAGTTTTTATAAGGGGTGGCTTTTTATACGGGGCCAAAGTTAAAATTCCAAGTTTCTACAAAGCAAATCTTTGGTGGAACAGCAACAGCTTATATTTATGTCCAGTAATGCCCTGGGAAGAGCAGGAATGGGGAGGAACCGTGAAGGAATGGGCAAAGATCAACATCTGTCTGATAGATGTGTATCTGAAAGAGATACATATATGCGTGTATCTTTTATTTATTGTCACTCTTCTTTCCAATGAGAAATGCTTGTGGCCTCTGGCTCATCAAATGCAATAAAAATAAATGGATAATATTGCCTGTATCTATTATCCCAAGCTTCTATCCCACATCACTTTTGCAGTGGTCCTGACCTGTGACAGGGAGCTAGCTGTCACAAGTGAAGAAAGGGAAGGATATCTATTCCTTATCACTAGGGGAATACCATTTCTGCTCCTCAGATGTGTAAGCAGTGCCTTTATGCTTTCTTAGGTAAGTCCCCAGGTGGCTATGGGTATGGCCCACAGATAACAGAGGCTCATGGCTGCCACAGTAACCTGGAAGACAGTTCCACTGGACAGGATGGACTGTTAAAAGAAACTTTTCCAGAATGTTTTCTTTTGTGCTCAGGAGTGCTCCCTGGGACAGAGGAAAATATTGCAGGGAGAGAAGACGAATAAGATAGATTGTGCCCTTTGTGCCCAGAAGGGAATTTACCATCATCTTCTCCCATGCATCTAAGTCAGGATAATCCCAAATCACTAAGTGACAAAAATTTGAAAGTTCTGCAATGAGTGGATGCAGAAACTTTGGTCTGTAACTATTTAAACTCGCATGTATGCATTCATCAAAAACACCATGACAATTTCTCATGAGACTTGGATCTGCTGTGGTCAATTTCCTGACATTGTGCGCATTAATGGCCTGTGAACATGGCCCAGAAGAGGCTAGGGAAAGGGAACAGACTGAAATGACAGTGTATCACCTTGGAGAATGGCAAACTCACAAAAAAATCAACCAAACGCCTAAAGCATCAGAATGTTCCCAATCAAAAAATCTCAGTCACATCATAAATGGATGAGTTAAGAAGTTTTGAAACTAGATTTTAATTGCTCTCAGGGATTTTTGCCATAACTTTAGCCTGGTAGTAAATGTGCCCTGTTACCTGCTCACACATTATACATGTAAACGTCTTCTTGTAGGTCATTTATACTTACATATTAAAAATAATATTTCAGTGGATTGGGCCTTTTCCATTTATTATCTATAGAAAGTTCATTCTCAAATGAAATACATTTACCCCCAAATCCCTCTTCACCCCCCACCCCCAACCCACAGAGATTGCATGTACTCTAATGCCACATGAAAACAAAAATTCTTAACTATGTACAAAATCCAGTGTAAATCATACCAACACATTAGTAATTTTTTCTCTACTAACTGTGGTTAAAAGTCAACTTTAAAGAAAGAGTATAATCCCAAAGGATTAGTGGATTATCCAAGCTTGGCAGGAATGAAGCCTGTGTCCCTACCAGAAAGACCATCTGTGCAAAAGAGGAACAAAGGCATTTAATGAGTAGGGATGGGATGGAAGAGTGTATTTTAGACCTTTAAGTAATCAACTGATTTATAAATAAGTTACTTGCAAAAGGGAACCAGATTTACATAAAATTCATTAGAGGGGACTGTCAAGTTTTCCTTCATAAAAGGTCTTCTGGTATAAAGAGCCACTTCCAGAGGAAGATTATGCTTTCCCAGAATCCTTTGGTAGTTTGGGACCTTGGCAGCCATCTGGGTGGAACAGAAGGCTGGTTAGTCCAGTTTGGGAAACAGATTCATATCTCCTCTACTGATAGAGATTAGTCAAGCTCAACAAAATTCATTACTTGGCCTCTCCCGGGAAAGAAACACCATAGCCTGGTGATCACCTGGGGGAAGTCAGAAAGTGCTTAGCAATCCCTAGTGGTTGCAATTGGTCAAGAGGGGCTCACGTGCCCTCTCTGGGATGCATACTTCATAGGTTTTGCTTCAGCCACTTGATATAGCTGTCCCTAGTCCGAATTCCCACTGAAAAATTGGTGGGCCAGGAAGTGAAAATCATGCAGCCATGGAAGGCATCCTCAAAGTGGTCATGCGTCACCTCCACACCAGCATTCTCCAAGCGCTTGACATACATGATGCCATCATCCCTGAGGACATCATGTTCACAGGTCAAGATATAGGTCTTTGGCAAGTTCTGAAGGACTTCCTGGTCAGCGATCAGCGGGGCTGAACGCGCGTCCAGGAGCTGGGGGAGCTCTTGGACAATCTGAGCATTGCCCACTGTCTGCATGACGGGTTTGTAATCCTTGGTGATGGATGCAGGCAAGAGGGAAAGCCAGTTGAGCCGGGCCCGCAGAGTGGCTGCCTGCTCCACATCCAAGGCAGTGTGGTTGTTGACCACCATAGCCTGGACAAACTCCTGGCTCCCTCTTAAATAGTCGATCCAGTATCTGACCATGACGTGACGTGGCAGGATTGGGGAGTTCACATTCTGCTGGTAGGATGGGGTATTGAAGTCAAGAGCTTGGAGGACTGGGTAGATCAAAGCTTGGAGCTTGATTTTATTCCTGAAGGTGTCGTCTTTGCTAAACTGCGAGGGAAGAACAGAATGGTATTTTGTCTAACATCACTCACGTACATCATACCCTGATGATAATTTAAAATATAATTAAATATAATATAATATAATTTAAATATAATTTTAAAAGAAGTGCCTTGCAGAGGTGGGGGACTATGGGTACAGAATACTAAAGAGACTGACAGGTTCGCTTGATGAATTTGCTGAACTGCCTTTCCCCCCTCTTCCTTTTCCATATTCACCCTCACGAAGCATGAAAAAAGGAAGAGGAGGGGAAAGGTAATAAAGCAGAAAATTGTTCAGTACAATTCAATGTACTTACAGAGTCAGAGGATCCTAGTTCAAATCATGCTTCTTCAAATACTACCTAAGCATCCTTGGCCAAGACACTTAAATTTTGCTCATCTGTAAAATTAAGGGGATGGAACAGATAGCAACTGAAGTCCCTTCCAGCTCTGTAGCTATGATCTTTTTTTTAAATGTTCTAGTAGAAGACTTACAAGTGGCAATGTGCTAGAATTGGCTCATATTGGCTCGTGAGAGCCACTCATTAAATCTTCAGTGCAAGCACTCACACCCCAGAGACTGGCAAAAGCTACAAATGAGGCTTTGACTGATTGTTTTGCTGACTGTCTAGACTTAAGAAAGTGATGGAGAAAATATTAATAATGCAGCCTGACCTGAAAAGTATGGCGGGCATAATAGTTTCTCCCAGAGAGCCAGTTGTTAAAGATTTACAGCACACCCTTGCTTACAGGGTGGAGAAAGAAATAGACAGAAATGGAGACTGTGCGAAAACAAGATAGCCATAAGAATGTACATTTTTGAAAGACAGAAAAGGTAAAGGTGTTAGCCTGAATTGGACACTAAAACCCATTACATTTTAATAATATAAACATTTTACTTTGCTAAAAGCAATTTGCTTCAACAAAGTGGGGTAAGGGAAGGGAATAAGCTCTTACACACGAGGCTAAGCACTTTACAAATTTTATCTCATTTGTTCCTCACAACAACCCTATGAGGTAGTGACTGTAATTATCCCCATTTTACTGTTGAGAAAAGTGAAGCAGCTACAGGTTAAATGACTTGCCCAAGGTCACACAGTAAAAGCCTAAGTACACATTTGAACTCAGATCTTCCTGACTCCAGGCCCAGAACCCTATCTAGTTATTGTGAGGATCCATAAAGCATTGTATAAACCTTAAAGCATTATATAAATGTCTATTACTTGATAGAAATAATAATTTATTGTAATTTATTGCTAACATTTATATGCCACGTTAATGTTTGCAAAGCACTTTACAAATATTATCCCACTTTATCCTTATAACAATTCTTTAAGTGAGGTGAGCGCTATTTTTGTTGTTGTTCAGTCATTTCAGGCATGTCCAACTTTTCATGACCCCATTTGGGTGATCAAAGTGGTTTGCCAATCACTTCTCCACCTCATTTTACAGATGAGCAAACTAAGGCAAGCAGGTTTAAGTGACTTGCCCAGGGTCATACAGCTATTCAGTGTCTGAGCCCAGATTTGAACTCAGGAAGATGAGTTTTCCTAACTCCAGGCCCAGAGCTCTATCCACTGTGCCACCTAGCTGCCCACATATAAAGAAACTGAAGCAGACAGTTAAGTGACTTGGCCAGGATTATACAGCTAGTAAGAGTCTGAGACGGGATTTTAACTCAGCTCTTCCTGGTTCTCAGGTCAGCACTCTATTAGCTGTGCCACATAGCTATCTCTATTTAGAATTTCCTTTTTTAATTTCTTTTATTTTGGAGGCAATGGGGGTTGAGTGACTTGCCCAGGGTCACACAGCTAGCTAGTGAGTATCTGAGTCTTCATTTGAAATCAGGTGCTCCTGACTCCAGGGCTGGTGCTCTGACCACTGCACCACCTAGCTGCCCCAGACTGTTCTTTTTTTTTTTTTTAAACAAAGAAGTCATGGAATCTTAGACTTGGAGCTGGAGGTCATCTAGTTTGACCTCATTTTACAGATGAGGACATTAAGGCCCATAGGATAACTTGCCTAAGGGAATATAGAGAGTAAAAATCTGTGGTGGGATCTGACTACAGAGCTAGTGCTCCTGGGTTTGATCCACAGGGCCTCTTAAAAGAGTCTTTCTTCTAAAACTACTCTCTAGGTCATGGAGACAGCACCTTGGACAGATCCTTCCAACCCCACCAACTCCCAAGGAACCTGCTGTTGCCATGAAAGCCACAAAACAGAAGAGCAGAGCAAAATAAAAAAGCAGACGTTCCCTCTTGGCCACATTACCTGCTGACCCAGAGCTGCGGCCAAATTTCCGCCGGCACTGTCTCCAGAAATGGCTATTCTGGCTGGGTCGACAGAATACTTCTCCAGGACCTGAGGCTGCAGGAAGTACTTGGCAGCCCGTTCTAGATCGTAGAGTTGTTCAGGAAAATGAACCTGTGGGACCAGCCTGTATCTGTGGAGACAAAAGACCTATATATTTAAAGATCCTGGCAGCTCTGCTCCTGAAAGTGACTGACGTGCAGAGAGATGACAGGGAAGGCTCATTCTGAAACCAGTCGACGGCCAACTGGAGATGGGAAAGTTTGTAATCCAAAAAAAACTGCTTTGCTTGGTGAGAGGCTGCCTTCTCTTCTAGATACACTCACACACAACTTCCCCGACCTTTTCTAGAAATGACAATAATCTTTCCACCTAGAAACTTACATGGCCCATGCCCATCCTACTGGGGCTTCACTGACCAATTTCCACCATTTCCCTGCTTTTACTTTCAGCGATGGCAAACCAGACAGCCTCCACAAGACCCCTACTTTTCCCTATAAAACCCATAGCCCTGGCTGAAATTATTCAGAGGCTTTTGCCCAGCCTACATCATTAAGCTCCTCCGCTTGGATTGTCCAGGTATTACCCTTTCCAGGACTGATTTGAAGACACTGCCTGCTGCCCTCACATATATATTAATCTGCTTCTCAAGTCTTCCTTTGCGTAAATTCAAAGCGCCATAAGAAAGACCTAAGCTTTTAAGTTAGGGGTTCTTAAACTGGGATTCATGAACTTGTTTTTTAAATATGTTGATAACTATTTTAATAGAATTGGTCTCCTTTGTAATCTTATATATTTTATTTTATGCATTTAAAAGCATCATTCTGAGAAAGAGGTCCATAGGTTTCACCAGCCTGCAAAAGGAGTACATGATGCAAAAAATAAAGAGGTAAACTCCTGCTTTAACCATTTCCTGGCCAATCTGATTCATTTGGGAAATGTCCTCCAAATCTAGGATGATAATGAGTTATGACAAAAAGCATAAAACCATACAACTCCTTTTTCAGTACATCCAAACTTTGGGATCACAGATTGAAATCTGGAAGGGACAGACTTCGGAGATCATTTAGTCCTCTCCTCATTTTGTAGGCCAAGGAAACTGATACCCACAGATGGGAAGAGAGCTGCCCAATGGTCACACAGACAGGAAGACTTCCATTATTCATTAATGCATTATTCATTAATACATTAAGGCATTAATAAGTTGTTGGAATTAATTTTCAGAAACCAGTATTTATTTAGAGAATTTCTTGATTAAGTAATTTCTTAGCCATACTGACAACTTCATGCATTCTGAAACTATCAGAGAAAATAGTTGAATCACTCTGTTGTGTTTAGCCATTATTAGATCTTTTGGAAGTGATTTTTTTTATTAGAAAGCCTAATGACCTCGAATTACCATTGTTATTTTTCATAATTTCCTCTAACTAAATGTATCATATTTTAGTCTATCTAAATCGATCTCTGTTCTGTCCTGATCCTTAACCCAGAAAATCAGCAATTTCACTCTCAGACCAACTCATCAAGCTCAAGACACAACTGTCATACTGGTAAGTGGGATAAGAGAATCAGGATTCAAATCCATTTAGAGGGAGACTAACATTCCAGTAGCATTTTACCTTGGAGGTACTGATAAAATGTCACAGCTGGGAAGGACCTTACACATCATGAAATTCCGTTCCTTTCACTCTATAGACAAAGATGCTGGCACCATCCCCATAAATTTCACTGACTTGAAAAAACTACAAACTTGGGGGCAATAATGATAGGAAATCTGAGTCTTAGAAGAATTTTTAGATTGGAGAGAAAGCCCCACAAAACTTTTATTTTACCAAAGAAAAATTATAAATGGAAACTCACAGAGGTTGACTGACTCTACCAAGACCACACACACACACACACACACATATCCTCATGCATTACATCAGGGCTAAAATCCCAGAGATCTTCTGGTTACCAAAACAACCCAATCATTTCCACAATGATTATGAAAAATCATTATCCTCCATCCCTAGATCCAACATGCAAATCAGATATTTGCACTATGGATGTGCAACTAGAACACAATATGTGGAACTAGATGTAGATGTGGATGTGGAACTAGAACACAATCAAAGAAAACAAGCAATTGTTTGCTTAAGGGAATGGATAAAGGAAACAACATGGATGTGGCCACCTTTGAACTAGGGTGTTTTGGGAGAGAAAAGTCCAAAAGGAAACCCTTCCAATGACTGTTTTTCAAGTGTCCTGACCTTCTTTTTCTCTAGGTTTTTAGTGGCCACTTAACACTCATTAAAATACAATTAGGCACTCAGGGCTAAAGGAGTACTGATCCAGCCCAACTCATACTTGAATAGGAATGTCTTCTACACCATTCCTGACAACTGGTCATCCAGCCTTAGCTTGGAAACTGCCAATGCGAAGGGGATGAGGGTGGGATGTGGCCACTAGCTTTAGCCATGGCTGTTCCATTTGGGATCACTCTAAAAGCTGGGAAGTTTTCCCAACATCAAGCAACAAACTGCTTCTCAGGGTGTTTTAAACTGAAACATAAAACACTCAACACTAGATCTGGTGTCAGAGGACCTGGGTTCAAATCTCAATAATACCACTCATTTGACCATGGATAATTCTTTTAAATGTCTCTGGGACTCAGTTTCCTCATCTGTAAGATGAGGATAATAATAGCCTGTACTTCACGGAGTTGAAATAATATATGTGAAGCACTTTGTAAACCTCAAAGTCAGTCAACAAGTACTTACTAAGCACCTACTATGTGCCAGGCACTGTGTTAAGTGCTAGGGATACAAAGAAAGACAAAAACCAGTTCCTGTTCTCCAGCAGCTCACAGGGGAAGACAACACGCAAACAACTGTGGAAAGCACTTTATAAATGCTAGCTATTATTATCACATGAGTAGCAGGTGTTTGGGACGCCCTCACCCCCTTTTCACTTTCACTGGTGACCAATGTAACCTTCATCAAAATACACTCAGTTCAAATGGGAGGCAAGCAGTGTGAAATGGTGCATCACAGCCACTAGGTGGCGCCATTGTACACGATGTATTAGATTTGCCCCCAGTCCTTTGAAAGGCACGGAGCACTTCAGTGGTGAGGTCTCAGTCCTCCATCTGATAACCCGAAATAACCACCCAAGTCACCTCTAGGAAATAAATGCTTGTTGGATCATCAGAAATATTTATCAATAACTTTTTGTCTCCTGACTTAAACCCCCATGTTTCTCTCCTCCAGGAATGGCAAACCCAATCATCCTAAGGCTAAATGTTCTGGAAATAGGTCCAGTGGTTTTAAATTGTGGATGACAGAGGAATGAGAAGAAACAAAAGAACCCATTTACTTTCTCCGATTCCCTTCAACTCTTAATTACAGTCCAGGTTTCCTGAGAAAGGCCAACTTTAACTGGGAACAGTTTTGAAATCTAAGAAGCTTCCCGAGCTGTGTAGGGTCCACATCCTTCCCTTCTCATACCTTCTTTCAAACTCTACCCTTAGAGAGTTTACTAAGTGACAGGGCCTGTTCATTATCTTTCTGCTTAGGTGGTAGATGGGGGGAGCCAGTGAAACCAGGCACTTCTCAATTCCCAGGGACTGAAGAGAACCAAGTATCCAAAAGTGTCAGAAATGACTGGAGAGATAAGGCAACCTCATGTTGACAGTTGTAAGGAAGGATCTGAAGGCTGAGATGCCCAACAAGAAAATAACATGGAGACAGTATCAAAACAGAGCAGTCAAAGTGGCTGTTTTGTAATCTGTCCTGAGGGCTGTGCTCCTACAGGCAGCCAGGAGGATTCTGCCAGGCCATCCTCTAGAAATAAAGCTACAATCTGCTACAAGAAGTCACAGTTTGAGAGCTGGAAGGTACCCAACTGGCCATCTACTCCAGTCCCCACATTTTACGGAGTAGGCTAGTGAGGCCAAGAGAAGGGAAATAATTTTCCCAAGGTCACAAGGGCACCATGAATCCAGAAATTAACTGGCTCTCTGGACAGGGGATGAGGAAAAGACTTATTTGGAAATCAAGGTAATGGAAAAAACACAAATTATTGATAAAAACTGAAAATAAAGCTACTGTGAGAAGAGAGAAACAATCCTGCTGTTCTAGTCTGCCTTTAACTATTGGGCATGCTTCCTTCCAAACAAGAAAAATAATGTCTAAAACTAATGCAAAATCCTCAGCCACATCTCCAGCCCACCGGAGTCTGCCTCCTGCTGGCCTTCACACTTCTTCACACATTCTCTGTCCCAGTTAAAGTGGTCTGCTAGCCACTTGCTAGACATGCATTCTATTTTCTGCCTGTGCCTTTGCCTAAAAGCCAGCTATTATAATGATCATAGCTAGCATTTATATAGTACTCTGATTTACAGAAACCCTAGTGGCTTCCTTCAAATATATAAGTAGTGAGGTATGTATATGTGTGTGTATTTCTTTAAGGTTTGTACAACATTTTATAAATATTATTTCATTTTATCTTTACAACAAATGGGAAGGGAGAGGTAGATGCCATTATCCCCATTTTTACAGATGAGAACGCTGAAGTAAACAGGGTTAAGTGACTTGCCCAGGGTGACATAGCTAGTGTAAAGCTGGATTTGAACTCAGCTCTTCCTGACTCCAGGCCCAGAGCTCTAGCCACTGTGCCACCTAGCTGCCCCACTTCCAGGATGCCCCCTTCTCACTTCTGATTTACAGAAACCCTAGTAGCTTTCTTCAATCACACCTCCGATGCCACCTCCCCCATAATACCTATCCTGACTCCCCTAGTTATCAATACCATCTGCCCCTTGAGGTTACTTTGCCTAACTCTGACTACATTTTGCACTTACTTTTTTGTAGTACACTTGGATCTCCTCAGTTGAATGTAAGCCTCTTAAGGGCAGGGCCTATTTTTTTCTTCTGTCTACCTAAAGAACCTAGTATAGCGGGGCTGGCTATATTATTTCATTGGTATAGGCACCTTCTCCACAACTCATTGGCTTATCATTGCCTAAAACAGCGGTTTTCTACATCTAGTCTGAGATCCCTAGAGGGCTCCCAGATCATTTCAGGGAGTCTGCAAGGTCAAAATTATTTTAACAATAATACTAAGATATTTTAATTTCTAATATGGCAAATATCAGTAGATGTCACGTAACCCACATAAACAAAAGCTCTTTGGGGAGCATGGAGTCTTCAATAATTTTTTAGAGAATAAAAGGGCTCTTGAAACCAAAAAGTTTGAGAACCATTGGTCTAGAGCACCAAGATATTAGGTGACTTGTCCAGGGTCACATAGTCAGTTTGCATCATAGGTGGGGTCTTCCTGGCTTGCAGGCTAGGACTCTAACACAATTCCACTCCTCTTGGAAAAAGTAGGTGCTCAGTAAATATTTTCTCAATTGAATTCTGTTAAAACCAAACCTAAGGCTTAGCCAGTGAAGCAGATTTGCATGCTCATAAACAGTAATTCCTGATTCAAATTATTGTCCACTAATTCTCAAAACTCTTAATTCATTGCAGATTGAGGCACACTTTTTATTTTCTTTATTTTTCTTGGGGATTTTTTGTCTGTGTTTTCTTTCACGACATGACTAACATGGAAATATGTTTTGCATGACTGCACATGTATAACCTACATCAAATTACTTGCTCTCTTAATGAGGGGAGAAGGAAGGGAGGGAGAAAATTTGGAACTCAAAAATTTTTAAAAACAAATGTCAAAAATTGTTTATACATATAATTGGGGAAAAAATAAAAATGTTAAAAAAAACCCTATTAAGTCATTTTATTTTTTTCAATATGTGTAATGCAACAGCTGTAGGTGAAGGAACAGGGAAAAGAGATATTGCTTTAAAATATCAGAAGAAAAGAAATGTGCACAAATTACATGCTTAAAAAAAATCCAGCCCAACCCACTGGCGAATAACAGATGTGAAATGTGGCTTGACAGGGAGAGGGTGGACAATTAAAGACACTAGACATTAAATTAGGCTGCAAAGCAGAGAACAAAAAAGCTTGAGAAAGAGATGAAGATGCCTGGGATAATGAAAAGAAAACTACCGCAGCAGAATGAGACAGTTTGCCACATCGTTTCTGCAGAATAAAGAGCTGGGATTTTCTAGACTGAGGCTCATTTTAAGAAAAAGGTCAGCACCACCCCCAAGATGACCAGAGCCTGGCTGCCTCCCTCTTTTCTTTACAAAAAATTTGTTACAAAGAGGCTCAGGAAAAAGAAAAAAGGAACAAACTAATAAGTTTTCTTCAAAGTTATTTTATCTATAACCTTGTGCAAAAATAACCAGAGCCTGAATCGTGAAATGGAACTAGGGAGGTGTAGGGTTTCCTAGCCCTTGTAGGTTCGGCCCTCCCCAGCCATTCTCATGGGAATCTGAAAAGGAATTATCATAGTGTGCAATGAATTTTGCAGTTCAAAATGCCTGCAATTTCAGGATCCTTCCCCAAAATCCCAGGGTCAGTCATTTTCCATTGGACCATTCCAATTTTTGAAAGAGGGGACCTCCAATGGCTCCCCCTTGCCTTTAGACCAGCCATTCTTAAAACTGGGGTCTGTGATCTAGTTTTATTGTTTCATGAACTACATTTCTATATAATTGGTTTCCTTAGTAATCCTATATATTTGTATTTATGCACTTAAAATTATCATTCTAAGAAGGAGTCTAGGGGGGCCCCCAGACTGCCAGCACTTAACACAGGGCCTGGCACATAGCAGACCCTTAATAAATGTTGGTTGATTGATTAAAGGGGCCTAGGACACAAAATAGGTTAAGAATCCTTGGATGAGGTTAAAAATACAGTTTGGCTTTTAAAATCCTTCTGAATATGGCTCTGGATTCTTCTTTGTTTTTTAACTTCGTTTTAAATTTCCTCACATGTGAAATAAGCAAGCTCTGCTTACTAAATTCCTTTGCAGCTCTAACCCTATGATAAGAAGAGAAATGTGAAGGTGTGTAAGAAGCAACATGTTGCTTGTACTGTGGACTTCTCTTTGGGCCCTTTTTTCCTCATGACAAAAATTGTTAATACCAAATGTAATATGGCCTGCCACTCCCTTAAATAATCCTCGTAATGTCAGAATTTCAGTAACGTCTTTACCTTTCTGCTCTTAAGATATTTACTCTTGATTAGGTTGAGATGCAAGTCCCTCCACTCACAGATTTCACCTTGTAAAGGAACCTAGCTGAAGCTGGATCTCAGCTTCTAATAATCCATTAGGATTCATGGCATGAAGAGCAAAACAGCCAGAATGAAGTGAATTTCCTTGCCCAGATTGCCAAGGGCCACTAGGGTCCTGTGACCAGGCCTTGCTACCTCATATAGCTTCCTCCTCCTCTTCTCCTAAAGGTATGAGAAACTTTTGCATGAGTCTTGGAGTTGAGAGATCCATTGTGTTCTGTACTCCTGGAATTCCTTAGAGTGGCAGGTTTGCTACCATGTTATCTCAGTTAAAGACAATTTATTCCTGAATTCATAGCTCTATTTCAGGACTTGACACTCATGTAAGCTGATAGGGGGCAGTTGGACTGAATGATCTTTAAGAATCCTCCCCGCTCTAAAATGCCCCATTTATCCCATGAGAAGTACTTACTCAATTGAGATAATGACAGCATTCAGCTCCTCTGCCATAGTTGAACAGAGTTCATCGTAATAGCTAATTCCTGGAAGAGACAGAATGATTGATGTGAGATCTACCATATTTTAAGTCATCAACTGTTCTTACATCATAATAAGCATAGGTGCTTCTGGGACTGGCCTTGGACTTTTATCACCTCAACACAATCTCACGAAAATGCCAAGATTAAATCTTTTGCATAGTGCTTATTAGAACACAGTAAGTGCTTAATAAATGTTTGTTGGCTGACTAAATGTTGACCTAAATATCTGAAATGAAAGAAATCATCCCAAGCAAGATGTAAAATCCAGTGGTTCAATTCTTCTTTTAGTAGAAATAGAAGTCAGTAGGAGGAAGTCAAGTATTTCTTTTAAGAGGCTGGGAAGGAGGACAGCTTAACCAGCTACAGATCTTCACTCAGCTCCGCCCCAAGCTTTGTCCCTCACACATCTGGCCTTTGTCAGAGCCAAGGAGTCTGTTTTGGGTTTTTTGGTACACGGTTTGCTTTGTGTTCCACCTCCCACATAGTTCGACCTTCTGGCTAGCTGCCTTTGCACTGGCCGTCCACCGTGCCTGGAATGCATCTTCATCTTCATCACTCACATTTATATGGAACTCACCATGTGCTAGGACTAGGCACTATGTTAAGATGCAGACTACAAGAAGCCTTCTCTGATCCATCCCTCCCCTTCCACACTACTTTATGGTGAACTGTTTTCTACATGTTGAAATTGATTCACTTTTTTTTTGAAGGGCAATCAGGGTTAAGTGACTTGTCCAGGGTCACACAGCTAGTAAGTATCTGAAACCAGATTTGAACTCAGGTCCTCCTGACTCCAGGGCTGGCGCTGCATCATCTAGCTTCCCCTTCATTCACTTTTCATTGATTCTGTATTTATTTATGTGGATACTTATTATCTTGCCCAATAGAATGCAAACTCCTTTCAAGTAGGGATCATTTCATTCTTTGTACTTGTATTCCCAGCACCTCGAACAGTGCTTGCACAAAGTTAGAGCTCAACAAATACTTGATTACTTAGCCCCACAAATGCAAGGTCACATCCAGTCCTACTCTAGCCAAATGATCCTCATACTTAAGACCTTTTGCTCTCATTATTTCCTCCCCATTAAAACTTGCTATTTCTGCATTGTTCCCACAAAGCCCTGCTCCCTGCTAGCTAATCAAGTAAAATAACAAGTACAAATTTGATATCTCTACCAGGTAACACATACAAGGTGTATGTGTTTCTGAGACTGCCAGGGTGGTACTATGGGGAGAAGGAGAGACAGCTTTCGTTTAACCAACATGTACTTTGCACCTACTATGTATATGCTTTTGCATGACAATGGCCACGGAATAAGATGTTGTGGAGATGGATGAAGACAGTGTGGTCTTCAAGATCACACTCCTTGGGCAGCCAGCTTGTCATAAGACTTGTCTCAGCTCTGAGCCAGGCAGAAATCCAACCCCATTCAGGACAAAACCCAGCTTCTATTCACCAGAGGAAGGGACTGGAATCTTCCATTGTCTCCACCTTTTCCTTCCTGATCTAGGCAGCTATTTTAACTAAAAAAACATGTGTGTGTGTGTGTGTGTGTGTGTGTGTGTGTGTGTGTGTGTAAACACCTCGTATGTATGTATGTATGTTATAAGGGCAGCTAGATGGTGCAGTAGATAGAACACCAGCCCTAGAGTCAGGAAGATCTGAGTTCAAATCCAACCTCAGACATTTTCTAGCTGTATGACCCTGGGTAAGTCACTTAACCCTGGTTGCTTCCCCCCCACCAAAAAAAAACTAAATAAATTTTTATCACTTATACATTTCCCAATGTATCTCATCCCCATACACCTCCCACCAGAAGGCCATCGTTTATGACAAAGTTTTCTTTTAAGAGGAGAAAAAAGTTCTGCAAAACGAACATATTTTAAAAAAAAGCCTGGTAGTACATACAGTATTCCATACCCATAATCCCTTACCTCTATGAAGGAGAAGGGAAAGGCTAGCAGGCATTTTAAACTATGACAAGGGGGATGGGAAGTAAACAAGTCTCAGTAACCCAACCTCTCACCACTTCTGAATATTATTCTTTTCCTTGACTACTTAAGTAAAGGGAGAAAAGAAAAGGACAGAGGAATGAAAGCTGAGAGTTTTTGTTTGTGTATTCCCAGTACAGTATGTTATACTCTTTTCTTTTGGTGAGGGGATGGGACTGGATATCACCAGTACAGGGATTTCCCAGACCAATTCAGATCTGCAGCTGCTCTACAGCTCATCCTTCCAGGGAGATCTCCTTGTCCAGGGTCACATGTAGCCAACATGTGTCAGAAATGGGACCTGAAACCTGGACGATATGACTCCAAGGGCAGCTCTCTGTAACAATGCTGTATGAACACCAGATGCCTAATAATGAGTGTTGACTTACATAGACCACCCAACAACTTTTAATACCAGAGCAAAACAGCTGCAAATTTTTCAAAGTTCATTTGTGCTTCAAGATCGAGATTCACAAAAATCCTGTTGAGATTTTGGTAGGACAGATATCTATCTCTGTTTTATAGATGAGGAATCTGAGGGATTTGTCCAAGAGAACAGTTACAGTGGCAGAGGAGGATTTAACTAGCACTCTTCAGCTGCCTGTGATTTTCTATTCTCTATATTCTCATCTAGGCAGGGGCTGAACAGCAGAACTGAGAGACAGCCAACCTCCAGACTGAGAAGACCTGGGTTCAGGTCCTGCCTTGGACACATCCTGTAGTGGTGACTGTGAGTAAGTCCTTTAACTAACCTCTCTTGGCAACTCCCTAAGATTCCATGGTGCAACAAAGATGTTAAGTAGCATTGGTAAGGAAATTTTCCCCACCTGAGAGTACCTTATGCCAATGAAATCCCAGGTCCAGACCCCCTCCCTATTGCCTTCTATGAGCAACAGGGAGCCCCTGCAAGATTTTAAGAAAGGGAATGAGGTGGTCAGATCTAAACATTAGGGAGACCATGGCCTTGTGAGTTTCTGTGGTTTTCTGACTTCACTGTCCTCCCCCCCAACCCAGCTGCCCCTCTTCTTTTTTCTTCCAGATATAGGGACAGACATAAAAATCCAGCTGGAGAAGAACAGAGTTGGAAGTAACAGGCAGCCCCATATCTTTTTTCAGAGACTGATGCCTTTGGCCCCGAGAGAGAGAGAGAGAGAGAGAGAGAGAGAGAGAGAGAGAGAGAGAGAGAGAGAGAGAGGAAATTAAGGAGGAGGACACATACCCTGATTTTACAGAAGAAGTTAGGGAGATGAAATCATTCACAGCAGAGTGTGAGACCTGAAATCATAGGACCTCAGTTCAAATCGTACCCCTGAAAGCCCCCTTCCATCTCTGAGGGTTAGACTGCTCCCCCACCAAAGTGCTGTGAGCCCCTTGTGAGCAGGGATCCTCTCTCTGTACCTCTAAAGCCTCTGTCCTGAACAGGCATTTGGACAATGTTTGTGGAGCCATACTGAATGAAAGACAACCAGAAGCCCAGGTTAGATTGGTATGATCCCAGGTTTTTGCTGCTTAATGGACAGGTAAGTTCTTGTATAACCTGAAGTGTAACTGGGAGGTGCTTAAAATCAGTCTGCCAATACCCAATTGCCATTTTAATGTACTTACTGTAATTCGCACCTGATGCTGTGGACCTCAGGGTGCAGTCTATAGCTTAGCTTGGAGCTTAGAGTAGGTGGCGGCTCAGGGACAAGGCAGCTTTCCTAAGATCCATGGAGCAGATGGAGTCCCATGAGGCACTCCAGGAAAGGCTGTCCTAGCAGCCCTCCTCCACCCCCATGGCTACTGGGCTGAGTCTGGGGCTATAGGTCATAGATATAGAGTTGGAAGGGACCTGAGAAGCCATCTGGTCCAAGCTCTTTGCAAAAGGAAGGATAGAAAGGAATGAATCACAGACTGAAAACTAGAAGGGACTTAGAATTCAACCCCCTCATTTTACATATAAGAAAACTGAGACCCAGAGAAGCCAAGTGACTTGTCCAAGGTCACATAGATTAATTAGTGGCAGGGCCAGGATTTAAGTCCCACTGAGTCCAAATCCAGGAGTATTTCTCCTGTACCATGATACCCTCAAGGTTTAGGGCAGTTTTTTGGGGGGGAGAGGGGGTGGTCTTTGGAGGGAGGCATGGGGGTAAATGTGGTTGTTAGATTTTTGTTTATTATAATTGGTTTTATTTGGGGCAAATGGTTTTTAGATACTATCAATAGGTTCACAATTATTATGTTCAATGTATGGAAAAAACTTTGACACAGCCTATAGACTCTAGTTAAAAAACAAAAAACAAAAAACCAAAAACCCCACTCAGACTAACAAAACATCACCCTTGGACAAACTCCATCCAAAGCCATTAGGGGTTTTCCAAAACCTACTTGCACTTGCCAGGGCCCATCCTCCTCCATGGATGTAAATAACTCCACTCTTCAGTGGTTCTTTGGCCTTTGGGAAACCTTCAAAAACTCTAACTTCAACACCACCAAACTGGGTATCAGTGATCTGAACATTCGGAGAGGACCAAGCACTTTTCCTGCCGAAAGAAACGATGATGAAATTCAGGGCGATGAGATGATGGCTGAGGCCCACATACTGGATCAGATGACTCTGAAAAACAAGGCAGAAGATTAAGGAGAAGTGCTCGTGTCTACTTCATCAGAAGCTCACCAACACTGGTGCTCACTGAATCTATACTGAGCTAGTGCCTATGGGAAGAAGCAACTGGGCTTGACATATGGGAATGAATAATGAGGACAACAACTAGCATTTACATAGTGCTTTGAAGTTTGCAAAGAACTTTACATATGTCATTTCATTTGGTCATTACAATAACCTTGTGAAGTGGATGCTATTATTATCCCAATTTTACAGAGAGGGATATGGAGGCTGAGGGTTAAGTGACTTGCCCATGGTCACACAACTAAATAAGTGTATGAGGCAGGATTTGAACTCATAATCTATCCACTAACTTTAGGCAGACAGCATCTACAAAGTGTACCCAAGTCTCTCTCTCTCTCTCTCTCTCTCTCTCTCTCTCTCTCTCTCTCTCTCACACACACACACACACACACACACACACACACACACACAATCTGATGCTCATAGCAAAAGGTATAGATAATAATAGCTTCCATTTATGAGGTGTGTTTCCATGCAGTATCTTATTTGAGGCTCACAACAATCCTGTGGGATGGGAGCTATTATTATCTTCTTTTTATGAGGTTCTGAGAAGGTAATTGACTCATTGAGGGCTAGGCAGGTAGTGAGTGTCTGAGGGAGGATTCAGACTCAGGTCTTCTTGACTCCGAAGTCCAAGGGTCAATCCACAAGAGCATACTGCCCGAGATGACACATACCCACCAACCAAAGAAACGAAGGTAGGCAAAAAAATATATATCTTTACATTGTAATGTCAGTCACTACCTAATTGTATAATATCAAACTTTTGTCTTTCACAAGAATACAATTCTTATAAGCAAAAACTTAGTAAACAAACAGTATTAAATTGCGTGCTATGCTGGCCATGGGCTAAGTGCCTGGAATACAAAGATTTTTTTTAAATGACAAACACATCTTTGCCCTTACAGAGCCTATAGTTGAATGGGGAAGGGGAGTGGTGGGGAGATGGGGAGGGGGAAAACTGGAGAGGAAGGTATGGAAGCATGCACAAATCAGTATGATACAATCAGTCTTTCAGTCAATAAGCATTTACTAAGCACCTACTAAGTGCCAGGCACTGTGCTAAGCACTGGCGATACAAAGAAAGACAAAAGATGGCCCTTGCCCTCAAAGAATTCTCAGTCTAATGGGGGAGACAAGAAGCAAATATGTACAAAGAAGCTATACACAGGATAAATAGGAATTAACTAACAGAAGGAAGGCAGTGGGATTAAGAGGGATTAAGAAAGGCTTCCTGTAGAAAGAGGGATACAAGAAAGAGGTATACAAGGGGTACAAGATCCAGATAAGGGGCTATAGGAATCAGGGCATGGAAAGGTCCCTTCCACTTGGGGAGGTCAGAGAGGACTTCTGGCCAGAAGTGACATCTCAGGTGGAGATGGAAGGAAAGAATTGACTTCAGAAAGAGATGAGGGAGGAGTCTGTCCTCTGGGGGCTAATCTAAGCAAAGTTGTCCAGACAGAAGAGGGTAGGACAAAAAGGAAGGATGGAAAATAATCCAGCTTGGCCAGGATGGAGAAAGCGTAACAAGGCCGAATCCACAGAAGTTTGGAACCGGAAAGAGGACAGAATTTGCTTTTGCAACTTTTGGCCATGATTCTATTGGCAAAACTGTTGTTCAGAAATAGTGCACTACTGCATTAATGGGCATGTCTGTGAAGTGAAGAAGGTCCTGTCAAAGCAAGAGATAGTCTGCTTATACACAAAGGGACTGTGGAGAGGGCTCCAGCAATTTCACGTATGGGTGGTAGAAGATGCTTTGGAAGAGATGGAAAAAATTTTGGCTGTAGTGGAAACTCTGGTGGAAGAGGTGGTTACTGTGGTGCAAGCAGAGGCAGTTATGGAGGTGGAGATGGTGGACTTAATGGTCCAAATGGAGAAGGTGGTAACCATGGAGATGTTGCTGGTTCCAAGAGTAGAGGGAGGTACGGTGTTAGATGAGGATGTGGAAACCAAGGAGGTAGACATGTGTGGTGGTGGTGGAGGATGCAAAGATTACCATACAGGAAGATATTTCATAACTATGGTGACATTGGAAGCTAGTGGCAGCAGCAATGAAATTATGGCCCCATGAAAGGAGCTTGTTGGGGTAGAAGGAGCTCAGACAGTCCCCATCATTGTGGTTACTCATCTGGTGGAGAAAGCATGGCTGTGGGTAGCAGAAGTCTCTAAAAATTCACTCTTCTTTCACTACATGACTAATGAGGAAATCTGTTTAACATGATTATACATGTATAACCTATATCAGATTGCCTGCTGCCTTGGGGAACGGGGCAGGGGAGAAAGGGAGGGAGAAAAACTTGGAACTCAAAATTCTACAAAAATGAATGTTGAAAACTATCTTTATGTGTAATTGGAAAAAAAATAGTATTAAGGGAAAAAACTCATCCCCAAAGGGCCACAGTTCTTTGAAAAAGAGTGGGTAAGGAGTCACAAGGAAGGTTACTGAGTCCTTTGAGCCAGTCATCCCAATGCATTAGAGGAACTATAAAAATCGACCACAAAAGGAGCAAGAATCTCTGGTCACAAAAGTTACTGCTCAACCCCAACAACTCTGCTTAAACAAGCAAGAGCTTAAAGCTTTAAACTGCAGCTTAATTAGGAAATCCTTCTTGTTCACGACTGTCACTGCAACTGTTTGCAAAAAAGGCAACGAAGTCGCCTCACGGAGATGTGCGCTCCCACTGTAGCTTCGTCTGCTCTTCTCTTTCCAACAGACTGTACCTAGAGTCCTGGAAACTGAGGTGGTGGCACCAACAATAAACAGCAGGCAGGAAGTTTTTACTTTTCCATATTTCTGCAGTTCAGTTTTTCTGCACTCTAGTAGAGAAATTTTAACAAAATGTGGTTTTGAAGGACTGTCAACGAATAGTTCATATGCTGGGAGGCAGTGAGATGGAATAGGTACAGAGCTCATCTTGATATCAGGCAGACCAGGACCCCAGACCCGTCCCAGACACACACTGGCTGTGAGACCCTGGCCAAGGGTCCCAGACAGCTCTCTAAGGTGGGAAGCTGCAGAGAAGGAGCTGATCTGTAATGGAAGGAGTTCCCCACCAGGTCTGTTGAAAAAAAATCATCAGTTGAAAATCAGAACTAAGAAAGGAAAGTCTGAGCTACTTTGGATACTCCACCGCAGGCAAGGAGGCCTCACTGCTAGCTGTGTGACCCTGCTGGCTTTTCAGTTTCCCCATTTTTTTAAATAAGAGGATTGAATTTGTTGATCCCTCAGGGCCCTCCCCCACTTTAAACTCTACGGCTTTTCCCCCATATATATCCTCCACCAAAGAGGAAAGGACTGTGTGGTTTGCCTGTTTGGGCACCCCCAGCACTCAGCACCATGTCAGGCATATACACAGATAAAGCATTTATTAAGGCCTTACTATCTATCATCGTGTGTTCAGTCAATTGAGACCACATTTAACACTCCTGAGAATGCTTACTTAATTATCGACTAAAACTGATGATGGGAGGTTGGTGGTTTCCAAGTCTGGTTTTGCAATCAATCCCCTTGGGTGTGGACCAAAATCCATCAAAGCAAAGCCTTTAGTTCCCTTCATGAAGTGACTAGCTTGATTATTTTTTTAAAAATGCAATGTCTGGCACTTTTAGGGGAGGAAGAATTTTTTTTAAAAATCAAAGGATAATGAATTGAAACTTCACAAAGGCTTTGAACTATTCTTACCTTTCCCAGTTAAAAAAAAAAGTTCATGAGAAAAGCTGCAGCAATAGCGGGTGGGAGGGAGAAGGAAAAGAGGAAAGAGAAGGTATAAATAATCAACAGAAGATCTACAAAAAGGAATTGATTCCCTTCTCTTCTCTCTGGGTCCCATGTTAAGATCAGGCAGCTCCTTCCACTTTCTAAAGGCAGAATGTCAAACAGAAAAAAGACTATGGCCAAGTAAACCAGGGGACTAAGATCTTCATTCTAGACTTCCCAGGGGTAGAGGAAATAAAGAGATCAAAGAGACCGACGGTCCTATGTACTCATACAGTCCTCTTCCTCCCCGTCCTGGCTCTATCCCCTGCAAGAATTAGATCTGATGGGGGAAGGGTGTGTGACTGATGGATAAGAGGAGTTTGCAGGGGTGTCCTAGGAGAGAGTTGTAAAAAGAAGCCTACACTAAAGGTTCCCAAGGCTAGGATGAAACTGCCACTTCTCAGGGCAAGATGACCATGAGGCAGTAACCATTTGGATGAGGTCATACTTAAGAAATGCTGAAGATCTACCTTCAAATCCTGCCATTCATCCATTCATCCATTCATCCATTCATTCAGTTACTGGATATTGACGGAATACAAAGAGAGCTCTGCACTGGGGAAGACAAGCTTAGATAGGACACGTCCTCAGTAATTCCCAAATCTGGTTTTGGAATCAATATCCCCAAGGGACCTCCAGTGAACCAAGAGCTTTCCAAAATCCTGGAGAGAAAAACCCCTTTATGAAGTACCCTTTATGAAGCAACTGGCTCAGTGATTTTTTTTTTTAAAATGCAACATTCAATAATTATAAGGGGAAAGTCCTCATTGGGTATAGTATAATAGGGAGATTAGACACAAATACAATTGCAAATAATGTGAATTATCATACGACGAGTGGCCTGACATCTCAATGCTTGTAGATTTGCATGCACATGTGTGTATTTCAAGACTAAGAGTTCCAGGGAAGGTGCAGGCCTGCCTTTGCAAAGGGTGTTTTCTCATCTGGGAGTTCCCGATACCAATGGAATCACAGGACTAGAGGACAGCAAAGCTTCTTTCCATTACTAAAACACTAATTCAACGAAATCTGAAGTTGTCACCAACTGGCAGAATCTCAGGTAGTATAACACAGATCTTTTCAAGAAGAAGGGGAATTCCTAGAACCTCAGTCTGAGCAGAACTATTGAGGGTTCTTTTTTCCCTCAGAAGTGTCTCATGTGACCGCA